CCGATGTCTGGCCAAGCCATGGAAATGGGAAATCAGATTTGACAAACCGACTGGAGTCTTTTGAAAATTGTTGTCTCACCTGAAGTTTAATCCTGATAAGTGTGAGGTGATGTATTTTATTGTACTCTGGGAATGGCAGGACACCAGGAAGCTCAGAGGAGCAGAGGGATCTTGGGGAGTCTGTCCACAGGCCCCTGAAGGTGGCAAGACAGGGTCTTAGGGCATATGGGACACTTGCCTTTATCAGTCGTGGCATAGATTCTAAGAGCAGGGAGGTGATGTTGGAGATGTGGAGGGCTTTGGTGAGGACACAGCTGGAATACTGTGTGCAGTTCTGCACCCCGCGCTATAGGAAGGATGTGATTACACTGGGGAGGGTGGGGGGTGCGGAGGGAGATTCACCAGGATGTTCCCTGGGATGGACCAGTTTAGTGATGAAGAGAGGCTGGGTAAGTTCAGGTTGTTTTCTTTAGAGTAGAGAAGGTTGTGGGGGGGATCCTGATAGAGGGGTATAAGATTATGAGGGGCATTGGCAGAGTGCGTAGGAAGCAGCTGTTCCCCTTAGTCGAAGGGTCAATAACAAGGGGACATCATTTTATGGTGAAAGGCAGGAGGTTTAGAGGAAATTTGAATAAAATCTCTTCATCCAGAGGGTGGTAGGGGTCTGAAATGCACTGCCTAGCAGGGTAGTTGAGGCAGGAACCTTTGCAAATTTATAAAGTATTTGGATGAGCATTTGGAATATTATAATATTCAAGGCTATGGGCAGGAAAGTGGAAACAGTGTTGATTTAGAGCAGATTTCTATCAGCGCACACTGGATGGGCTGAAGAGTCTATTATCTACTGTATGATTCTCTGTTCTTTGTTACTCACAAAATTGAGAAAGGAGACCCAATAGACGTAATATATGTAGATTTTCAGAGCATCCTCAAAAAAGTCCTCAAGCACATGGGATAGCAGGTAATAGGAAGGGTGTTGTGAAACTGGAAAGGGTTCAGAAAATATTGGGATTCTTTTTGGTTGGAGGGTTTGAGCTACAGGGAGAGCCTGAATAGGCTGGGGCTATTTTCCCTGGAGCGTCGAAGGCTGAGGTATGACCTTATAGAGGTTTATAAAATCATGAAGGGCATGGATAGGGTGAATAGCCAAGGTCTTTTGCCCCAGGGTGGGGGGGTTCAAAACTAGAGGGGCATAGGTTTAAGGTGAGAGGGGAAAGATTTAAAAGGGACCTGAGGGGCAACTTTTTCAGGCAGAGGGTGGTGCGTGTATGGAATGAGCTGCCAGAGGAAGTGGTGGAGGCTGGTACAATGACAACATTTAAAAGGCATCTGGATAGGGACATGGATAGGAAGGGTTTAGAGGGATATGGGCCAAATGCTGGCAAATGGGACTAGATTAATTTAGGATATCTGGTCGGCATGGACGAGTTGAACCAAAGGGTCTGTTCCCGTGCTGCACAGCTCAATGATGCTAATGTACTGTCATAGGCTAATGATTGCCTAACAAAGCGAAAACAGAGTGGGAATAAAATGGGTTACTCTTGCTTTGGCAGGTCATGACCAATGGGATACAGTAAGGATTAGAACTTGGTCTCCAGCTGTTTATAATATGTGTCAACTATGTGGAGTTGGGAACCAGATGTAATGTTTCCAAATTTATTGAGGGGTGGGACACAGAATGAAGAGGGAATGTTCATTGTGAAGAAGATTCAAGATTCAAGAAAACACTCCAGGAGGATCTGGACAAGGCTTAGTGAATGGTCAAGAGAACATGGCAGATGGACAAGAACATGGGAGAAAGCGAGGTAATCCACTATGGAAGGAGAAACAGCTGTGCAGGATATTTCTAACACAGAGAGAGGTTAGAAAGTGTTAGTGTACAAAGGGTGCTGGGTGTCTTGATCATAAGTCCCTGAAAGCTAACATGCAGGTTCAGGAAGCTATCCGGAAGGCCAATGGAATGATAGCCTCTATGGCAGGAACGTCTGAGTATGACAGCAATGAGGTCTGGCCTCAATCTTATAGGTTTTGGAGAGACATGGCCAAATGCTGGCAAATGGGACTAAATTAATGTTGTTTTTCTGAACTGCAACTGAGTGCTATGTGCTCTTCTAGTCTCAGGAAACAACAAAGGTTCTCAAGACTAACTCACTAGAGAGTGGGACTGTCCTATGGGGAGAGATTAGGTAAACTGGGCCTGTATTCTCCAGAGCTTTGAATAATGAGAGGTGATCTCATTTACAAAATACTTAAAAGGGGTGGATTTAAAGGGATAGAATAAAGGTGTAGATGAAGATATTTCCCCTGATAAGACCAGGGCCATAATATAAAAACAAGGGGATGACACTTAGGTCTGAGATGAGGAGAAATTATTTTTTGCTCAGAGGGTTTTGAATTTGTGCAATTCTGTCCCACAGAGGGCTATGGGAGCTCAGTCTTTGAGTCTGTTAAAGGTAGAAGGCGTTAAATTTCTGACGCCCAGTGGGTGATGGCGCGGGTGACTGGCATTGAAGTGTTCCATCAGCTGTGTTCGTGTTGCATGGCAAGGAAGACGTGATGGGCTGAATGGCCTACTTGTGCTCTTGTGAACTGCAAGTCCAATTGCGAATGAGATGAATGACATTTCCACTGGAGGGGGGTTGAGGGGGAGCGTGGATGATGGCGCTGTCTTCGAGTCACGTTGGCAGATAAGAATCTGCTCTCCCCAGACACTGAGATTGCTTGAATCCATCCACTCGGATCAGTCTTTGGTGGCCCTTTCCTTGAGACTGCAGGGTCTAACCTATAGACCCGGTGAGCTTGGCACACCTGTCAATCTGAGGTGGGGAAATCCCATGTGGATTGTGGGTGTCTATGCTTACCTGACCTGTGATCTGCAGGAACGCTATCTAACGACGATTCACATTATACATTAATGACCTGGACAAAGGAACTGAGGGCACTGTTGCTTTGTTTGCAGATGACACAAAGGTAGGTGGAGGGACAGATAGCGTTGAGGAAGTGAGGAGCTCCAGAAGGACTAGGACAGGCTGGGAGAGTGGGCCAAGGATTGGCAGATGGAATACAATGTGAGAAAGTGTGAGGTTATGCACTTTGAGCAGAAGAAGCGAGATGTCGACTATTTTCTAAATGGGGAAAGGCTTTAGAAATCTGAATCATAAAGGGACTTTGGAGTTCTAGTTCAGGATTCTCCTAAGGTTAACATACAGGTTCAGGAGGCATTAGGAAGGCAAATGCAAAGAGATGTCCTGCTCAGGCTGCATCAGGCTCTGGTCAGACAGGGCCCTGTATCTAAGGAAGGATGCACTGGAGAGGGTGTAGAGGAGGTTTACAAGAACGATCCCAGGAATAAATAGCTTGTCATATGAGGAGCGGTTGAAGACTCTGGATCTGTACTCGATGGAGTGTAGAAGTGAGGGGGGCGGTCTCTGATTGAAAACTTACAGAATGCTGAGAGGCCTGAATAGAGCGAACATGGAGAAGATGTCTCCGCCAGTGGGAGAGACTGGGACCCGAGGGCACAGCCTCAGGATGAAGGGATGACCCGTCAGAGCTGAGATGAGGAGGAATTTCTTCAGCCAGAGAGGGGTGAATCTGTGGGACACATTGTCGCAGAGGGGGCTGGGGAGGCCAAGTCATTGAGTGTATTTAAGACAGAGATAGACAGGTTCCTGATTAGTGAGGGGATGGAGGGTTGTGGGGAGAAGGCAGGAGAATGGGGTTGAGAGACTTATTAGCTATGATCGAAGCAAACTTGATGGGCTGAATGGCATAATTCTCCTCCTATATTTTATAATCTTATGACTCTAAGCTTATCTGGAAGTACAACACATTCTAGATTGGCAAAACAATAACCATTCTGGAATATAACAACTCAGTGATGAAATCTATTACACAATTTGAGAATAATTGAATTGTTTCAATCAGAGACTGTAAATTACGCCTGGTTACCAGAGGGAAACCAGTTTGAGAGCAAGTGGCAATGGATTCTTATCAAAGCTTTCACTGGGTGAATGATATTCCATTCTGGCATGGTTTACTGGGGTAATGTACTGGAAATCAAGCCAGAATCATTTAAGATTTGAAGAAGAATGCAAAAGTCATCAATTTACCCAATTTTCTGATGCAGTTTGCGGGGAGTGCGCACAAGTTTTTGCATTGAGTAAGAATCACGGTTGATTGTAAGGAAATAGTCTTTACGTACAGGTAAACAGTTGTGAATCATGGCATGGAACTCCACTGGTTAAAACACTAATCTCTTTAGAAACTCCCCCTTCCTCTTCCTTCATATGCCCTGTCCTCACCCCACTCCCCCACTCCCCAACACACACACACACACACACACGCACGCGCGCGCACGCATGCGCACACACACACACACACACACACACCAGCAGAATGAAAAAAAATGGGTGTTTTGGATGGAGAAAACATTGGGAAAGCAAGTCAGTATCTCCTGTTCATGGAACCTGCTGAGAAAATCCATTTACTGATTAGAATGTGGCTTCCCAGTCTTCCTTCTCTGGATGCTTTCACCCATTTGCAGCAGGCACAGGGTGGCTGGTTCACACTTACAAAAGGTCCCTGACTTATAATAGCTTACAGCAACTGATAGGGAAATGATAGGCTGTTTTTTCTTCAGGTTGAAGGAGCTTTTACTGCAGAGAAGAGAGAGCTGCTGAGCTGGTGGAGGTCTAAGGGTTTCTCTGTGTCTTGTTCAATGCCCCAGTCTGTTCCGAGAACCCATCATGTGGTTATTAATAGGCAGAAGGCCTTTGTCATTGATAACTGGTCACTAGTTCCCAAATCAATCAGCTACTTGTTGCTAGCTGAATCTCAATATTAACATTGCCTTTTGACTCCAGTTCATCTGCATACTGCACCTAAACTACCATCAGAACCAGCAGTTATATAAACAGTGCTTACAATGGGTGTCAGGTTACATGCCTTTAGAAATATACAGCAATTCTCCAACAATCTTTGGTTTTAAAAGTGGTGTTTTCTCTTTTTAGTTTACAATAAAAAATGCAGAAGTATAAAAACATACAGTCTTTACCATCGCTGATCAGGAATTGATAAACTTTTTGTGGCCCAATTTAGTTGAAAACGAATAAAACACGTCATAAGTTATGAAATAGACATTATAGAAAATAAAACTATCTCATTTCTGTGTCTGCAAGGTACAAAACCACAGTAGAATAGCAGCCAGGCAGGGTCACAGTGTTGTATACACACAATAAGTGGTGTCATTAAAGGTGAACTCTCTTAAAGGCAAGGTACCAGGACGTTCTTTCAAGCACGTGCCATCTGAAAAATGAAGCCATATCAGTAAAACATGAAGCTTTATCAAGGCAAAATGTTTTGTACCCTGAATTGCAAGGGTTGTTTGAAGTTTATAACTGCTGACAAAACTAAACAGAAATTCTTAATTAACATGGGATCTTACATCCGATCTAGGCAGCACACATTGGGGGAGGGTGTGAGCGTCCAGGAAGCGGTCCGGGTGTGGGGGTGATAGGAATTTACCAGAATAGTGGGAGGGGATGAGGAATTTATGAAATGAGTGTGGTGAGGAAGTCATTTAGCAGGCTCGCTTTCCTCGTTCAGACCTTTGACTATGAGATTTCAGACGTCATGTTGAGGTTGAACAATGCGTTAATAAGGCCTCTTCTGGAGCACCATGTGCAGTTCTGGTGCCCTGTTATAGGAAGGGTATTATTAAACTGGAGAGGGTTGACAAAAACATTTACCAGTACAGTGCCGGGAATGGAAGGTTTGACTTATAAAAAATAGGCTGAGACTTTTTTTTTCACTGGAGCATAGGAGGTTGCGGAGTAACCTTATAGAGGCTGATAAAATTATGAGGGGTATAGATAAGGCGAATAGCCAAGGGTCTTTTCCCTAGGGTGGGGCAGTTCAAAACTAGGGGTCATTTTTTAAGGTGCGAGGGGAGAGATTTAAAAGGGACATGAGGGGCAATGTTTTTGCACAAGAGGGTGGTTTGTGTGTGGAATGGGCTTCCAGAGGAAGTGATGGATGCTGCGATAGTTACAGCATTTCAAATAAATTTGGATAAGTATGTGAATGGGAAAGATTAGGAGGGATATGGGCCAGGAGCAGGCAGGTGGGATTAGTTTAGTTTGGGAACACAGTCAGTCTGGACTGGTTGGACCAAAGGGTCTGTTTCCGTGATGCGTGACTCTATGACTCTCGAATACTTAGGAGAAGCTAGCATTGTTCTCTATGAATGAACAGACATCGTTAGAAAATCTAATCACGGTGCACAATATTGTGGTAGGTTTAATAAAGCAGGCAAAGAAATATTGTGCCTATCAGACAACAGCATGAGGACCAGGAGGTGTGGACTTAAAGTTCTGGGTAAGAGAGGCAGAGAGGAAGAACATTTTTAGAGTGTGAATGGTAAAGTTCTGGAACAAGCTGCCTATGAGGATGGTTGCATTCAAAAGCAAATTGGACTGGCAATTAAGCAGATGAATTTGCCATGCTACGGTGAGAGAGAAGAGGGGACAATGGGACTGACTGGGAGGGTTAAGTACTGGTTTGATGGGCCAAATGCTTCTTTTTGTACAGTGGTGACTTGAAACAAGCCAAAACCCTGGTGAAATGTTAACAAAGAGAATTTATTTTAATATATTCATTCATGCGATGAGGGCGTCGCAGACAGACAGCATTTATTGCCCATTCCTAATTGCCCAGAGGGCAGTTAAGAGTCAACCACATTGCTGTGGGCCTGGAGTCACGTGTAGGCAAGATAAGGACAGCAGATTTCCTCCCCTAGAGTTTTCCCCATCATCAATTCATAATTAACTCCAGATTTTTATCCTATTCATATTCCACCAGCTTCCACAATGGGACTGAAACCTAGGCCCATAGAACATTACCTGGATTTATAGTCCAGCAATAACACCACTAAGCCTTGAGTAGACTGGGATAATGCTCATCGGAATTTAGAAGAATGAAGGGGAATCTTAAAGAAATGCATGAAATTATAAGAACATAAGAACATAAGAACTAGGAGCAGGAGTAGGCTGTCTGGCCCTTCGAGCCTGCTCCGCCATTCAATAAGATCATGGCTGATCTCTTCGTGGACTCAGATCCACTCACCCGCATTCTCACCGTATCCCTTAATTCCTTTATTGTTCAAAAAAAATCTACCTTATCTTTAAAAACATTTACTGAAGTAGCGTCAACTACTTCACTGGGCAAGGAATTCCATAGATTAACAACCCTCTGGGTGAAGAAATTCCTTCTCAATTCAGTCCTAAATCTGCTCCCTCTAATCTTGAGGCTATGCCATCTTGTCCTAGCTTCACCTGCCAGTGGAAACATCCTCTCTACTTCTATCTTATCTATTCCCTTCATAACTTTATATGTTTCTATAAGATCCCCCCGTCAATCTTCTGAATTCCAATGAATATAATCCCAATCTACTCAGTCTCTCCTCATAAGCCAACCCCCTCAACTCCGGAATCAACCTAGTGAACCTCCTTTGCACCCCCTCCAGTGCCAGTACATCCTTTCTCAAGTAAGGAGACCAAAACTGCACACAGTACTCCAGGTGTGGCCTCACCAGCACCTTGTACAGCTGCAACATAACCTCTCTGCTTTTAATCTCAATCCCTTTAGCAATGAAGGACAAAATTCCATTTGCCTTCCTAATTACTTGTTGTACCTGCAGACCTACCTTCTGTGATTCATGCACAAGGACACCCAGGTCCCTCTGCATAGCAGCATGCTGCAACTTTTTACCATTCAAGTAGTAATCCTTTTTACTATTACTCCTACCAAAATGTATGACTTCACATTTATTTACATTGTATTCCATCTGCCAGACCCTTGCCCACTCACTCATTATGAAGGGAATAGATAAAATAGAAGCAGGGAGGTTATTTCCACTAGTAAGGTGAAACCAGAACTAGGGGGCATATCCTTAAAATAAAAGGGGGAGCAGGTTTAGGACTGAGTTGAGGAGGAACGTCTTCACCCAAAGGGTTGTGAATCTGTGAAATTCCCTGCCCAGTTGAGGCTCCCTCGTTGAATGTATTTAAGGCAAAGATCGATGGATTTTTGAACAGTAAGGGAATTAAGGGTTAGGGTGAGCGGGTGGGTAAGTGGAGCTGAGTCCATGAAAAGATCACCCATGATCTTATTGGATGACAGAGCGGGCTCGAGGGGACAGATAGCCCACTATTGCTCCTATTTCTCACGTGATCTCCAATTGCGAACTTACCATATCAGATTGCTGTAAACTTCCTGGTCATTTATGATGAGATCCTTAATGAGAAATAAATAAGAGAGGTTGAGTAATTTCCTCAGCGATATTTAAGGCTTCAAAGCTAAATCAAGCGAACGGAAGTAGATAATCTGTTTACCATATATGTTGAATTTACATTTTGCCTGTTTCCTTGACGATTCTGTAATTAGCGCACAAATAAGGACATCATTAAATCACTGTTAACCAACACAGCCACACACCAAAGCTGAAATTAATGCTGCAAATCAGAGAGAAAAAAATCACAGAGAATTGCTGGAGAAACTCAGCAGGTCTGGCAACCTCTGCAGGGAGAGAGGAAACAGAGCTAATGTTTTGATTTTGATTTGTCAGAACCTATGAACCAAACACTGAAATTGCTGGAGAAACTCAGCAGGTCTGACAGCAGAGAGAAAGCAGTGTTCCGTATCGAGTCACCCGCGACTCTTCGTATTCTCTGCGGTCTCTAGAGTCAAAATATTAACTCTGTTTTCTCTCTGCACCTGCTGCCAGAGCTGCTGAGCTTCTCCAGTGATCTCTGGTTTTCTTTCAGCTCACCAACGCCAATGACTTTCTCGTGAGTATTTTTCAATTGGTAGGAAATGAGACACAAGGTAATATCACTGGATGACATCGACATTGAGTGCTGGTGTAATGAATTCTTGCTTCATAGAGTCACACAACATGCAAACAGGCCCTTCGGTCCATCCAGCCCATGCTGACCGTGTTCCCAAACTAAACTAGTCCCACCTGCCTGCACTTGACCCACAACCCTTCAAACCTTTCCTGTTCATGAACTCATCCACATACTTCCTCAACAGGGGTGGCACAATGGCTCAGTGGTTAGCACTGCTGTCTGACAATACCAGGGACCTGGGTTCAATCCCAGCCTTGGATGACAGTCTCTGTGGAGTTTGCACATTCTCCCCATGTCTGAGTGGGTTTCCTCCCACAGTCCAAGGATGTGCAGGTTAGGGTGGATTGGCCATGCTAAATTGCCCACAGTGTTCAGGGGTGTGTAGATTAGGTGGGCTAAAGGGGGATGGGTCTGGGTGGGATGCTTCAAGGGTCAGTATAGACTTGTTGGGCCAAAGGGCTTGTTTCCACACTGCAGGGATTCTATGAGTACATTGTTTCTGTATCCACCACTTTCTCTGGAAGTACAAACCACCCTCAGTATAAAAATGTTGCCCCTCATGCCCTTTCTAAATCTGTCTCCTCACCTTTGAAATATGTCTCCCTACTTTTGAGCTTCCCCCACACTAGAGAAAAGACCCTTGTCATTCACCCTATCTATACCCCTCATGATTTTATAAATCTCCATAAAGGTCACCCCTCAACCTCCTACATTCCAGTGAAAAATAGTCCCAGCCTTCCCAGTCAATTTTTATATCTCAAACCCTCCATTCCTGGCAACTTCTGGTAAACTTCTTCTGATACCTCTCCAGCTTAATAATATCTTTCCTATAACTGAGTGACCAGAACTGGACACAGTGCTCCAGAAGAGGCCTCACCAACATTCTGTTCAACCTCAACATAACATCCCAACTCCTATACTCAAAGGTCTGAGCGATGAAGGCAAGCGTGCTAAACACCTTCTTAACCACCCTGTCTATATGTGACACAAACTTCAAAGAATTATGTACCTGAACCCCGAGGTCTCTCTGTTCTACAACACCACCCAGGGCCCTACCATTAACTGCATAACTCCTGCCCTTATTTGTTTTACCAAAATGCAATACCCCACATTTATCCAAATTAAACTCCATCTGCCGCACCTTAGCCCATTGACCCAATTGTATAAGAACCTAGTTAGACTGCACTTGAGTACCGTATGCAGTTTTGATCATCTTATCTCAAGAAGATATTATTGCCATAGAGGGAGTACAGTGAAGGACCACCAGACTTGATCCTAAGGAGAGAGATTGCTAAAACAGGGAGCCTTTATTCTCGAGAGTTTTGAAGAATGGGAGGAGATCTCAATGAAAGCTACAAAAATTAGATGGGATGGATAGGATAGAAGGGGGTAAGATCTTGATGTTTCCCCTGTTTTGTAGTCTTGTACCAGAAGGGACAATATAAAAACAAGGGAGATCCTACTTAAGGTGGAGATAAGGAGAAATTATTTTACCCAGAGAGTTGTGAGTCTTTGGAATTCTCTCCCACAGAACTGTTAATGAGTAAAACCACAGAACTGAAAGCATTATTGAGGCACACTATCAGTTTATACCCTGAAGGGGCAATAGATGTAGTTGACAACAAAGCAGCAATAGATGACAATGAAAAGATGGGGTGACATAAAACAACTTTTTTTTAAAAAGCAGACAAAATACAAAAATTCATAGAGGCCCTGGAAACAGGCCATTCTGCTCATGCCAACCCACTGAACAGCATCCCACCCACCTATCCTATCATTGCATTTACCATGGCTAATCCACACAGCCTGCACACTACAGACGACTTAAACACAACCAATCCATCTAACCTGCACAGCTTGGGACTGTGGGAGGAAACACACGCAGACACAGGGAGAATGTGCAAACTCCACACAAACAGCCGCCTGAGGGTGGTATTGAACCTGGGTCCCTAGCACTGTGAGGCAGCAGTTCTAACCACTGAGTCAACGTGCCGCCCTCGATAGAGAGAGAAATCAGAGTGAATGTTTTGGGTCGAATGACCCTTCCCCAGAACTCAGATAAGGAGATCCAAACTGAGCACAATTCTCCAGAAAGGGTCACTCGACCTGAAACATTCACTCTGATTTCTCTCTCCACAGATGCCGCCAGACCTGCTGAGCTTTTCCAGCAATTCCTAGTTTCGTTACCAATCTGTTACCCTCTCAATGGAAAGAGAGGGAGAGAGACAGAGAGGGGTGGGTGGAGAGAGAGACAGAGAGAGAGATAGAGAGAGAGAGATAGAGAGAGAGAACGAGAGCAATATGATTGGTGGTCGTTTAATCCAGTTAATGGAGGAGGTAGTGATGTGTAAAGTCATCCCAGCTGGTGCAGGATTTAAGTTTACGCTGTGGATGCCAATTGACATCCCTTCAGCCAATTAAGCGACCTGTACCCACCCATCTAATTGTGAAGGACTGATGGTAATAAATCTACCCGAGATATCTCAACGGGTTCCAGTGAACACGGCAACAACATATATGCCAGGTTTTAGCAGTGAAAGCCAGCAGCTCGGCAAAAAATTCCCCATCCTCGCAAATGTCACAAACTCCCACAAGAGTGGGTTGCCAAGAAGTGATACAAATTTGAACATTATCCGTTGCAATTAAAATTTTAAGATCTTGACTTTTCGTTGGTTAAGTTTTGCTGATGGTTATGGCCCTGAGGGTTCTGGGTTTGAAAATCCGCTCTTGGGCATTTCAGTGGCTGTTTAAAGCATTTGTAAAATCGGTTGAAGGATTACGGATAGCGGGCAGGAGAATGGGGGTTTGAAGCTGGCATGAGTCAGACATGATCGTGTCAAATGGTGGAGCAGGTTGGAAGGGCCGAATGGCCTACTCCCACTCCTGGCTCTCACTTTTCGTTTTCAAACGGGTAAGTGAGAGGTCTGGAGATAAAACAGCCGTGCGTTTTGGGGTTTTCTACATGTGAGGCCACACTACATGCGCTACAGAGAGTCGGGCTCTTGTTGAGACGGTTGTCTTCAATTTTATTAGCACCGCTTGCAACTACAAAGGTAAAATATCCAAGGCTTAGGCACAGAGGCCTAGTTCTGTGGTCATCTACCATACATTAGATGACTGAACGCACTTCCCGCGACAAAGAGAGATTGAGAGAAGGCAGATAACAAGGTGAATGAACACAGCAGGCCAGGCAGCTGACGTTTCAGGTCTGGACCCTTTTTCAGTAAAAGAGATTCAGAAAAAAGTTAGATTGAGGGAAGGCAATTGCTTTAGCTGGAATGTCAAGAGATACAATGCATTTCAGAAGTAAATGTTTGTCTGGCCTGGAACTCATGCCAGAATATAAGGAAACTTAACCCGAATTTTTTTGACCTCAACTTTTTTGGGAAATGGATCGACACTGCACAATTAAGAATTACTAAAACCCAGAAAGAGGAAAGCAGGCAGGTCTTAACACAAGTAAAACCACATTTGAAGTAAAACAATTGAAAGAAAGCAGAAACTATGCTGGTGAAACTATTACAAATATGCGTACAGCACTTGTAAGACATCAGGTTTATACTGTGACTGCGCCATTCAAAATATTTTTGCAAACGACTTAACTGAAAGCAAGACTCACCTGGGATTCAGCATTCTGATCCCCTGCCACATAAAAGGAAAATAGAGCGAGGTTAGACGTGGGAAACTCAAACTGGCGGAAATTTGCATCCGAAATCTGCCCCTCACTGGAAATAAACCACGGGGATCATGCATAGTGGGCCCGACAGAAACGCGGGCTGTCGTTGTGGTTGCAGGAGGTCGCGGTGGCGCTACAGCACTGCAGGCGGTCAGGCCATGTGCAGGCCTTAAGCGGTTGAAATGGAATTGGCCGACCGCACCGCATACCCCACCACCCACCCCACCCCTCCCCCAACACTTCTGAGCTTCACCACAATTCAGAAGGGTGCAAGACACCGATGTGTCTCATTTTCTGAACTCACCCTGACCTCTCGCTTTTCGCTTGCAGAAACAAATGACCCCAATGAGGGCCAGCAGTAGGAGCCCCACGCCAGTTCCAACTGCCACGTAGACAGCTCCTAGATCTCTGGAGTCCACTGTGAAAGAGAAATGAAGTCAATCCAGAGACGAGATCCAACTTATTAGATAGCCTGGGGAAGCTTGGGTGGCACGGTGGCACAGTGGCACGGTGGCTCAGTGGCTCAGTGGTTAGCACTGCTGCCTCACAGTGCCAGGGACCCGGGTTCGATTCCACCCTCGGGGGACTGTCTGTGTGGAGTTTGCACATTCTCCCCGTGTCTGCGTGGGTTTCCTCTGACAGTCCAAAGATATGCAGGTTGGGGTGGATTGGCCATGCTAAATTGTCCCGTGGTGTGCAGGTTCGGTGGGTTATAGGGGAATGGGTCTGGGTGGGATGCTCTGAGGGTCAGTGTGGATTTGTTGGGCTGAAGGGCCTGTTTCCACACTATAGGGATTCTATGATCAAAGGTGTGCTTCACAGGCAGCTTAAAGGAGAGACAGAATACAGGAGCAGGGATGTCTCGGTGAAATTGTACAGGGGCCATGGGGAGACCACTGCATGGAGTACTGTGTTTGCAGCTTAGGGCTCTCCCTTTCTCAGGAAGGGGGTTCTGGTGATGGAGGGAGGGCAGCGAAGACTGTATTCCTGGGTTGGATGGATAAAGAGAACTGGATCAGTTAGGAATATATTCATTGGAATTTAGATGAATGAGGTGGTATCTCATAGAAACCAACAAAATTCTGACAGGTCTAGACATTGGTGAACACAGGAAAGATGTTCCTGATGACCAGGGGGTCCAGAACCAGGTGTCATTGTCTAAAGATACAAGGTAGGCCATTCACAGAGTTGTACAACATGGAAACAGACCCTTCAGCCCAAATTGTCCATGCTGACATGATATCCTAAATTAATCTAGTCCCATTTGGCCCATATCCCTCTTAAACCCTTCGTCCCCATCCAGATGCCTTTTAAATGTTGTAATTGTACCAGCCTCCACCACTTCCTCTGGCAGCTCGTTCCACACATGCACCACCCTCTGTGTGAAAAAGCCGCCCCTTAAGTTGGCTTCTGGGTAATCCAAGATAGAGGACATGAAGAAACTGTGGCTGTAAGAGCGGCAACGTGTTTGAGATTGTTTTCTGTGCTGGATCCTGATTTCCTTGATTTCTGGAGCAGTAATTACTGCTTTAATGAGCCGTTGCATTGCTTCGGCAACTTTGGAAAAGAGTAAGACCACGAATCAGCCATGATCTCATCGAATGGTCGACAGGCTCAAGGCCCTGCATGGCTTACTCCCACTCCAAAGTGGAGGAAGTTCTTCACACAGAGTGTGGGGAGCCTGTGGAATTCTGTCATAAAAAGCAGTGGAAGCCAAAACATTGAATATTTTCAAGAAGACGTTCTTAGAGATATGGTTCTAAGGATCAAAGAGACAAAGCAGGAAGAGGGGATGAGTTGGATGATCAACCATGATCCAATCGAATGGGCGTAGCAGGGCCGAATGGCCCGCTCCTGCTCCTATTTTCTATGTTTCCATGGTTATGAGTTTATTTCATCGAGTCACAGCCAATCCCAAAGAGATTTCACCTCTCTTAATTATTTGAGACAACTATGCTTCAATGATACTTAGAGATATCTCCAGGACTTTGATGCGGGGAAGTGGAAGAGACATTTTCAAGGCTGGTCGTCATTTTCTTGTGGAAATTACCTTGTGCCTCTCTCTCTCTCAGTCGTGAATTATCCTGTAACTTTACCATCGCACAATATTGTAGATGAACTAAGCATACTGTGTTCGGATAACATAACAAGTGTATCATATCAGATAGGGCACCCCCTTTGGTGTTCCCAATAAACACAGTACCAAAGCATTCTCATTTCGGGTCTGGATCCTTCTTCAGAAATGGGGGAGGGGAAGGGGACTCTGGAATAAATAGAGAGAGCGGGAGGCGGATGGAAGGTGGATAAAGGAGCAGATAGGCGGAGAAGAGACGGACAGGTCAAGGAGGTGGGAATGGAGCCAGTAAAGGTGAGTGTAGGTGGGGAGTTGGGATGGGGTTTGGTCAGTCAAGGGAAGACGGACAGGTCAAGGGGGCGGGGATGGAGCCAGTAAAGTGTAGGTAGGGAGTTGGACCTCATATTTCGCTTGGGAACCCTGCAGCCCAATGGTATCAATGTGGACTTCACAAGCTTCAAAATCTCCCCTCCCCCTACCGCATCCCAAAACCAGCCCAGCTCGTCCCCGCCTCCTTGACTTGTCCGTCTTTACTCCCAACAATCCGCTCCTCCCACCTCAACACCCACCCCCACCTCCTACCTACCAGCCTCATTCCCACCCCCTTGACCTGTCCATCTTGCTTCAACCGACCAACCCCCATCCCAACTCCTCACCTACACTCACCTTTACTGGCTCCATCCCTGCCTCCTCGACCTGTCTGTCTCCTCTCCACCTATCTGCTCCTTTATCCACCTTCCATCATCATTTCCCCCTCTCTCTCTATTTATTTCAGAATCCCCTTCCCCTCGTCCAGACCCGAAACATCAGCTTTCCTGCTCCTCTGATGCTGCTTGGCCTGCTGTGTTCATCCAGCTCTACACCTTGTTATCTCAGATTCTCCAGCATCTGCAGCTCCTACTATCTCTAAATGTCAAATGTTGTTTTCCGATTGCTCAGCAGCTGCTGAGGAGCCTGGAGTGCTTCAGGAATAATGCCATTGACCAACTTAAGATCGTCGCCTTCACAATGTCTCTCACTTAACACTCGCCAGATGTTTCAAATACGTGGGGGAATCTGTCATTCTCAGGCAATAGCAACATGACCTGAAAGGGTTCTGAGGGCATAGATGAAACCTGGGCATTGCACTGACTGGGGAATGGGGGCAGTACTGCCCCCTACAGATGGCACCAGGCACTTGACCACAATTAGCGTCTCCAGCGGGTTATGTAGAAACAGCTAATTGGCTGTTAAAAGGCATGAAACTCTAAATAAGGGAGTTACAACAAACTCATGTCAAACATTCGTTCAGCCCCAACTATAGTACTGTGCCTGGATTGCAGGCTCTTTGAAAGGAAGTGAAGACATCAGAGATGGCATGGTAAATATTCACGGAACTGGTCCAGGAATGTGGGGCATCAGTGATTTGGAGAAGCCGGGGCTGTTTTCCTTTAAGAAGTGAAATGTGTAATGAGCTGTGGCTTTAAGAGGTGCATTTTATGCTGGTTTCTTCTATAGATGATGTGGAAGTGACGGTGTTGGACTGGGTTGGACAAGGTCAGAAATCACATGACACCAGGTTATAGTCCCACGGGTTTGTATGAAAACACAAGCTTTCGGAGCACAGCCCCTTGGTCACCTGACGAAGAGCTGTGCTCCGAAAGCTTGTGTTTTCGTATAAACCTGTTGGACTATAATCTGGTGTAGTGTGATTTCTTTTAGAGAGAGATTGGGACTCAGGTGGTGGAAAGATAAACAACTTGTGAGGTCTTGGAACAAAAACAGACGTTGCTGGAAAAGCTCAGCAGGTCTGGCAGCATCTGTAAGGAAAAAAAATTCAGAGTTAACATTTCGGGTCTGGTGACCCTGCTCCAGCTCTGAGGAAGGGTCACCAGACCTGAAACGTTAACTTTATTCATTCATGAGATGAGGATGTTGCTGGCCAGGCAGCATTTATTGCCCATCCCTAATTGCCCAGAGGGCAGTTAAGAGTCACCCACATTGCTGTGGGTCTGGAGTCACATGTAGGCCAGACCAGGTAAGGATGGCAGTTTCCTTCCCTAAAGGACATTAGTGAGTCAAATGGGGTTTTCCGTCAACAATCGAGACACGGTCATCATTAGTTTCTTAATTCCAGATTTATTTTTATTGAATGCAAATTCCACCATCTGCTGTGGCGGGATTTGAACCCGGGTCCCCAGAACATTATCTGGGTCTCTGGATTAACAGTCCAGCGGTAATACCACTAGGATTTTTTTCTTCACAAATGCGGCCAGGCCTGCTGAGCTTACCAGCAACTTCTGTTTTTGTTCCTGATTTACAGCATCCACAGTTCTTTCAGTTCTTGTGAGGCCTTGGGTTTAGTTTTCAAGTTGGAACAATAGAAGCAGCCTGAGCGGGTGTGGTTAAGCTCACTGATCCAGGACTTTTAGTTTGAGCTTTCAGCAGAAGCTGTTTTGGGCTTGAAGAACTTGAAGCTATTTTATTTCCCTCTCTCGGTTACAGCTACACGCTGGGGTTTCTCTTTCTACTGTAGATGTTGCATGTGAGACAATCTGTTTTCTGAATTTGGCCAAGGGATGTGTGGGATATTACTATATTGGAACAGTTAATTAGTAATAGATACTGTATTTATTATGCTGTTAAGTTTTCCAGTAGAGTTAAATTATTGTAAGTTCCTCTTTCTTTAGTTGTATTTTAACTGTAGTGATTGAATATTTCTTTTTTGCTTAACGTTGAGTAGTTTGACCAATCAAATTACATCTGGAATGCAGCACTTTGCATTTACCTTTAAAATAAGTAAAAGTTAGGTTATATGCTGCCTTCTTAAAATACTTTGAGGGGGTCTGGTCTGGAATGGGGAATTTCAAGACTAGGGGGCACATTTTTAAGGTGAGAGGACAGAGATTTAAAAAAGACATGAGGGGCAAATCTTTTACACAGAGGGTGGTCCGCATGTGGAATGAACTTCCTGAGGAACTGACGGATGTGGGTACAGTTACAACATTTAAAAGATATTTGGATAAGGACATGAATAGGGAAAGGTTTGGAGGGATATGCGCCAGGAGCAGGTAGGTGGGACTGGGTTAGTTTGGGATTATTCAGGGTTTGAGTGAAGAGTTGTAGCTGATTGTAGATGTTTGTGTGAAGCTTCACAGGAGGCTCTACAGCACTGAGGATGTCACCTAGATAAGGGACAAAATGTCTGCTATCAAACCTTCCAGCTCAGTGAACACACTAACATCTACAGCTTGGGGTTATGGTCAGCACCGGCTGGTTGGACCGAAGGGTCTGTTTCCGTGCTCTACGACTCTATGGATCTTGTAACCAGTTTGCCTCAACTTGAATTCTGACACGTCATTTCGATCTCTGCCTCACAGACTTCACTTCAGAGAGAACTTAGGTTCGTATTGTGGCGTTGAGCTACAGAGACATACAGCATAGAAACAGACCCTTTGGTCCAACTTGTCCATGCTGGCCAGGTTTCCCAAACTGAACTTGCCTCATATATCTGCATTTGGCTCCATTCATATAACCATCCAAATGCCTTTTAAATGCTGTAATTGTACCAGCCTCCACCACTTCCTCTGGCAGCTCATTCCATACACGCACCACCCTCTGTGCAAAAAAGTTGCCCCTCAGGTCTCTTTTATATCTTTCCCCTCTAACCTTATACCCATGCCCTCTTAGTTTCGAACTCCTCTATCCTGGGGAAAAAGACCTTGGCTATTCACCTTATCTGTGCCCCTCATGATTTTATAAACCTCTGTATGGTCACCCCTCAGCCTCTGACACTCCAGTGAAAAAAGTCTCAGCCTATCCAGCCTCTCATTATAACTCAACTTCTCCAGTCCCAGTAACATCCTTACAAATCTTTTCTGCACCATTTCCAATTTAATAACACCCTCCCTATAGCAGGGTGACTAGCACTGCGCACAGTATTCCAAAAGTGGCCCTAACCAATGTCCTGCACAGCTGCAACATGACCCTCCCAACTCCTATACTCAATGCACTGACCAATAAAGGCGAGCGTACCAAACACCTTCTTCACCGCCCTGTCTACCTGCAACTCCACTTTCAAGGAATTATGAGTCTGCAGCCCTAGGTCTCTCTGTTTAACAACACTCCCCAGGGCCCCACCGTTAACTGTGTAAGTCCTGCTCTGGTTTGTTTTACCAAAATGCAACGTCTCGCATTTATCCAAATTAGACTGAGTCTGCCACTCCTCGGCCCATTGGCCCATCCGATCAAGATGCTGTTGTGCTCTAAGATAAATTTCTTCGCTGTCCATCGTACCAATGTGCATTTATTTCATTGGCCGTTTGCACATTCTAACACTGTTTATTTGGGAGTCAGTTCCAGTCTCTGGCTCGTGTCCCACTCCAGGATCTATGCACAGAAACATAGGTCACAATGCAGTGGAGCACAGACAGAGGGTCGCTGTGCAGGCTGGAGGGGGTTAGTTTCTTTGGAGGAGGCATTAAACTGAGAGCCAACCCCCCCCCCCCCCGTCAACTGTAGCACCCAACCCCCACCCTCACCCAGGGTGCTTATGAATGAACTCGATTCACCCTTTTGTAAGAGAGTAGATCCTTCATCCCCAGTTTCCACTGTTAGCCCTGTAGCAACATATTGCAATTAATGGGAGGTTACTGTGAACACATTGGTTCCTGTGTCTCCCACAATGCGGCAGTGACCCACTTCAAAAGGATTTCAAAGGCACTTTGAAACAAGCAATATATAAATATGAGCCTTTTTGATTGGAAAATTCACTGGTTACAAGGAGTCTGTTTGTTTTTCTGGTCCTTTATTCCATTTTTCATTTAAATTCACTCATGTGATTGCTACTGGCTAACCACGCCAGCATTTATTGGCCAGAGGGTAGCTAAGAGCCATGGGTCTGGAGTCACATGTAGATCAGACAACAATTTCCTTCCCTGAAGGACATTAGCAGATGAAACAAGCTCTTTTTTAATTTTCCCCTTCCCGTGACGATAGCCATCACCCGGATTTTCATCAAAACGAAGTCTCACCACCTGCTGTGGCAGGATTCGAACCCAGGGGCATTGTGTGGGTCAGCTAGATCAACAGTCTCGTGGTAATGCCTCTAAGCAATCACCTCTCTAATGGGGGAAAGGATTAAAAAAAAATTTATTTCAGAATCATCATCAAACACAGTACTGAGGATGCTGGAAATCAGAAATAAAAACAAGGAAATCTCAACAGGTCTGGCGGGGTCCATGGAAACTGAAACAGGGCTATCGTTTTGAGTCCAGTTTCACGGTGTAAGAATAAGGGGTAAGGACTGAGATAAGGAAGAATCTCTTCACTCAGAGAGTTGTGAACCTGTGGGATTCTCTCCCAGAGGAAGCTCTTGGGGCCTGTTCGATAGATATATTCAAGGGGGAGCTGGATACAGCCCTCAAGTCCATGGGATCAAGGGGTATGGAGAGAAAGCGGGAATGGGATACTGAGATTGTATGATTTGCCATGATGGTATTGAATGGTGGTGCAGGCTCGAAGGGCCAAAAGGCCTGCTGCTGCTCCTATTTCCCATGTTTCTGTGTTTGACTGTCCTTCAGATAGAGGTGACAAAGCGATGGTCTTTACACTGCTGAGGAAGGTGGGGAAGAGAACGGGAATAGAAAGGAAGGTCAAAGGAAGGTTGGAGGGCAAGACTGATGCAAAATCAATGGTGTCACAGGAGAAAGACCAAGGGAGTGCTAATGGTTGAAGTGAAGTGATATGGCATGAGTCGGGATTAGGTGTTAATGCAGAGCATCACTCTAACTTGAATGCAAAAACACAGAAACACCATGCAGAGATAAGGGGGAAATTGTGTCAAAATGAAGACTTCCTCTTCGAAAAAAATGCTTTCCACGTGTGAACTGTTTTAGAATAAAATTCTAACCTTTGTATATGAGCCAGGTCTTTTCTTCAGTGATGCTTTTCGAGGTCCATACAATGCAATGATAGAGCCCAGTGGAATCTTGTGCAGGGGTCATGCGAAGCGAGCAGCTTCCATTTTCCAGGCAGGTCTCGACGGATATTTCCATGTCAGCCCAGTCTGCGTGTCTCATCAAATTCCCGCTCAGGATTTGCAGCAGAAGCTGTTGCTTCTGCTTTCCAGAGAAATCTGTCCAGCGCCATTGTACCAACGCTGCCCGCGTGTAGGATGGGTTGGAACAGTTTAGCACGACCCGATGCAAACCATCAAAGTACACCTCTGGGCATTTACTCTGCTCGTGCTTAATACCACCTATTATTGCAACAACACGATTCAAATTTGTGAATGGGTTACGAGAGCACAGTCTGAACACATGTGATTTCAACATCAAATTTCACTTCATTCATAAGTTTCATCCAGAGACAAAGGGGACGATGAAGCTGAATGGCACTCAATTTAAGGACAAGATGATCAAAAGCTGAATCGAATAACATTATTTCAGGGATAGTAGGAACTGCTGATGCTGGAAAATCTGAGATAACAAGGTGTAGAGCTGGATGAACACAGCAGGCCAAGCAGCATCAGAGGAGCAGGAAGGCTGACGTTTCCGGTCTAGACCCTTCTTCTGAAGAGTCTGTTTCCCTGTTGTAAATCTCTATCCATCTTCTATCCGCCTCCCCCTCCCTCCCTATTTATTTCAGAACCCCCTACCCCTCCCCCATTTTTGAAGAAGGGTCTAGACCCGAAACGTCAGCTTTCCTGCTCCTCTGATGCTGCTTGGCCTGCTGGGTTCATCCAGCTCTACACCTTGTTGTCTCGAATAAAATTAGTTATGTTAACAATGAAGGGACATTTGTGCCACACAAATGCCAGGCTATAACCATCTCCAATAAAAGACAATCTGACCACTGCCCCTCCACATTCAATGGTGTGACCATCCCCCACTATCAACATCCTGGGGGTTTTTCATTGAGCAGAAACTCAACTGGACTCACCACATAAACACAGTGACTACAAGAGCGGGTCAGAACCTGGGAATCCTGCAGCGAGTAACTCCCCTCCTGACTCCCCCCAAAGCCTGTCCCACCATCGACAAGTCAGGAGTGATGATGTGGACTGGGAGTGGACAAGGTCAGAAATCACATAACGCCAGGTTATAGCCCAACAGGTTTATTTGAAATCACAAGCTTTCGGAGCCTCGCTCCTTCTTCAGGTGTTAGTGAGAGAGGTGGCATCAGACACAGAATTTATAAGTAAAAGATCAAAGGGTCACACCGCTGATTAAACAAATGTGAGATGCTGTTAAATCTTTAATCAGTTGGAAGGTTTCTAATTGATTACTATGTGTATGTAAATCCCTGAATTCCTTTTAAGTCACTGCCCTGGGAGAACCTAAAGGTTTTATCAGAGCAAAGAAGAGGTGGCATTTTAAGTCAGACAATGCATGTTAGATGTGAGGCCTTGTTTAGAATCTGTTAGTGTTTGGTTTGATTTTATTTCTAAAGTAGGAATTTATCAAACGCCACATCGGCTGACTGTCTATAAATTGTGTGCAAACTTAATACGTTTGTGCAAAACCTCAGCTAGAACGAGAAACATACACCGGGGACCTGATGCAAACAAACTTCAGTTCAGGTCGGCACAACATCGAGGGCCGAAGGGCCAGTACTGCGCTGTAATGTTCTATGTTCTATGTTCTAATATGAGAAACATTCGGGTGCAGTTCACACTGAAGGTTGTAACAGGCTCAGGCCTGAGCCTTTTGGGGTGGATTGGGTTGGGAAAGAGACATCCCGTTTGGCTCAAGATTTTTTCAGTTAAAGAATGGCTGCCTCAGTGAAACCCGAATCAAACATCTCAGGAGCTTTTCAGGAAGGGATTGGGAGTATCAAATGGGGTCAAAGACACTTTACCCAGCGGCCAGGAAGCAATTCCGAGATTTTGCAAGGTCTGCCCAGTGACAGGGCTGAAAAAGCAATCCAAATATTGAAGGCAGTCTTACAGAAGCAGCGTTCAGTGTCAATCGATACGAAGCTGTCCCATTTCCTGCTCAATCGTAGGGCCACCCCTCACACAATTAGCTCCAGCAGAGTTACCGATGAGGAGAAGATTAAACCTGATCCTGTCTGGACCTGGGGGCGAAGGGCAAAGCAGCAGCAGGATTCCCATTGCCGGGCACGTGCCTCCTCTAAGCGAGGAGAGACAACTAAATTGTGACGTTTAGGTGTCGGATCTAGGGAGACGGCCCCGTGTGGATATGTGGTGAGGTTGGCGTGAGGTCAGGTCCCGTGACTTGCAAAGTTGGGGGCAGGGGTGAGACAGTTCTGAACAAACAGCTGGAAGATGTTACCTCACAAACTAGGGCAGGAGCAAAACTGACCCGGTCCCTCAGGACAGCCGGAAAGGTTCCCCCAAACCCCCCCTACCCCCTCCACAGCCCACCGTCTGGTGTCAAGGAAACCTCAGGGTGCAAGATGAATGCAGAAGAAGAAGAGGAAACTCTCCCGAGGCACTCCTGAGGCAAATTATGGGGTACGGCTCAGTTCGTGTCATCTGTATCCTGGTCTGTGTCAAACGAACAACACAGGAAAGGATACGAGCGATAGACCAGGCCGAAATCCCAGGACGTGGAGGTGTGGGAGGGTGGAGGGAGGATGTAGCAACTGGAACCAGGTGGATCTTGTTGACCCTGAGGTTCTTGATTGGGACCGTTAACCTCAGGAAAGCCGTGGCTGGCTGAGATATATCCAAGCGATTCAGAATCTCCTCAGTTCAGGGGTTGGCTCTGACCTGGCTGGTCTCAGCGCGCATGTATATATAAATATGCTGACCGGATACCAGCCTCTGAGCTGTTATTCCAGGAAGGAAATCTGCCATCAGCACCTGGTCTGGCCTACGTGTGACTCCAGACTCTCTGAAAAGCCACTCCGTTGTATCAAAACGGTGAATGGAACTGACTAGGGGTTGGCGAGGGGATGGAGGGTTACGGAGAGCAGGCAGGAGCATGGGGTTGAGAAACATATCAGCTGCGATTGAACGTCGCAGCAGACTCGATGGGCCGAATGGCCTCATGTTGCTCCAATATCCTACGGCCTGCTGAAATTGTTCGTGTCTCCTGGCACTGACTCTCGGCATGGAGACAACAATGTTTTGATGAAGGGTTTCAAGAACAAAGAACAAAGAAAATTACAGCACAGGAACAGGCCCTTCGGCCCTCCAAGCCTGCGCTGATCCAGATCCTCTATCTAAACCTGTCACCTATTTTCCAAGGATCTGTATCCCTCTGCTCCCTGCCCATTCATGTATCTGTCTAGATACATCTTAAATGATGTTATCATGCCCGCCTCTACCACCTCCACTGGCAACGGTACCTCCAGGCACCCACCACCCTCTGCATAAAGAACTTTCCACGCATATCTCCCTTAAACTTCTCCCCTCTCACCTTGAAATCCTGACCCCTAGTAATTGAGTCCCCCACTCTGGGAAAAAGCTTCTTGCTATCCACCCTGTCTATACTTCTCATGATTTTGTAGACCTCAAACAGATCCCCCCTCAACCTCCGTCTTTCTAATATAAATAATCCTAATCTAGTCAACCTCTGTTTCGTCCCGAAACATTGAGTTCCCTGCTCCTCCGATGCTGCCTGACCTGCTGTGCTTTCCGAGCTCCAAGTCTATTGACCCTGGCTTCCAGCATCTGCAGTCCTTACTGTCTCCAACGTTTTTCCCAATCCTGTCCCAATCCAATCCTTCCCATCAGGACTGCCGTGGTTCAAGAAAGCAGCTCACCACCACCCCCTACAGTGCAGTTAAGGAGGGGCAATAAATACAGGACTGGCCAGTGAAACCCCCCACCCTTCACCAACCCCCCCGCCACGCCCTGTGAACGAATTAATTTAAAAACCAGCCAGAATGTTGTTTATCTCTTTGCAATGTCATGCCCACCTTGAGACGAGAACCAGAAACACATAAGTTGTTCATATTGGAAAGGGAGAACAAAATGGAGAAGAGCTGTGAAAAGCTGTAACACAAAAGGGCTTGGGGAGGGGGTGAAGAGTAGAAACTTGCTCACGAAACGCAGAAAGATAGCCCACAGGTACAGCGGGTAATCAGGAAGGCTCATGGAATGTTCTGAGGAAGGGTCACTGGACCCGAAATGTTAATTCTTGATTTTCTCTTCACAGATGCTGCCAGACCTGCTGAGCTTTTCCAGCAACTTCCTGTCTTTGTTCCTGATTTACAGCGTCGGCAATTCTTCTGGGTTTTTAATGGTATGTTGGCCCTTATTTCAAGGGGAGTTGGTGTATGAGAGTACGGAAGTCGTACAAGGTGCTGGAGAGACCGCATCTGGGGTACAGCGAGCAGTAAAGAAGGATATTGTGTCATTGGACGCAGTTCAGAGAGGATTCACTAGGATGATCCCCAGTATGGAGGGGTTGTCCTATGAGCAAACGTTAAACAGGTTGGGACTCCACTCACTGGAATTCAAAAGGATGAGAGGTGATCTCATGGAAACACTTAGGATTCTTAAGGGGCTTGACAGGGTAAATGCTGAGAGGATGTTTCCCCTCATGGAAGAGTCTAGGACCAGAGGGCATAGCTTCAGAATAAAGGGGCACCAATTTAAGACTGAAGTGAGGAGGAATTTCTTCCCTCAGAGGGCTATGAATCTTTGGAACTCCTTGTCACAGAGAGCATGTGGGGGCAGAGCCTTTGTGTATAGTTAAGGCTGAGATAGATCAATTCTCGATCTGTCAGGGAATCAAGGGTTATGGGGAAAGGTCAGGAAAGTGGACGTGAGGAATATCTGATCAGCCATGGTCCTATCGAATGTGGGAGCAGCCTCGAGGGGCAGAATGGCCTACTCCTGTTGCTATTCCTCATGGCCAATTTGAACTGCATTGATAGACAACATGCAGCAGGTTTATCATAATTCCGGTACCTACCGACCACAGCTTTAGTTAAGAGGAGGAAAGAGAGCGCGAAGAACATTTCAGAGCGTCCCAGACACAATTACATCAACTGAGTATATTTCCACCTCCAGCTTCTTGGAGTTACTTCTGTAACTGAGTCAAGCAAATATGAACAGCTTCCGAACCTGGCAAAGAGAAACAAGCAATTGTCAATAACGTCTAAAGTGATACTTTCTCAACTTTATGGGATTGGTGCCTATTTTCTTGTTACAAAAGGGCTGTAATTAACACGTTTTGCGATCGAAACGAAGTTTCTACAGAGAAACAAGAATGTTAAAGAAGTGTAGAAATTACATTCCAATATTTAATTATCTTCAGTTTGTGTTTGTCCCAATCGACAGTGCAATGGGACATATCTTTAAGTTACACTAAATATACATGCATGAAATGGCACTTACATAAATTTGTCTGGGGCAGCCGGTAAACAGCAAAACCATATCAGAATGATATGAGGAGAGGGAAACGGATGAAGCCTGGTGATATCCCGGGTTTTACGGAGTTCATGTATTGCCGAAGGAACATGTCTGTGTGCGTCTATGTATGTATGTCTGTCTGTGTGTCTGTATCTATCTGTGCGTGTGTGTGAGTGTGTGTGTGTGTGAGAGTGTGTGTGTCTATGTATGTATGCCTGTCTGTGTGTCTGTATCTGTTTGTCTGTATGTCTGTGTGTGAGTGTGAGAGTGTGTGTGAGAGAGTATGTGTGAGAGAGAGTGAGTGAGTGTGTGTGAGTGTGTGCGTGTGAGTGTGTGTGTGAATGAGTGTGTGTTTGTGTGTGTGAGCATGTGTGTGAGTGTGTGTGACAGTGTGTGTGTGAGAGAGTGTGTGTGGGTGTGAGTATGTGTGAGTGTGTGTGTGTGTGCGCGCGCGTGGGAGTGTGAGAGTATGAGTGTGAGTGTGAGAGAGAGAGAAAGAGAAAAAGAGAGAGAGAGAGTTATCGCGGGTGTGGGATCAGGGCTTGAATGCTAAATATTACATTTGACTGGAGATCATTGAGCCAACAGCCAAAGTACTGATGGAGAATTAGTTAGTGGTTTCTCTGAAAGGGGAAAGTCATTGTCTCTCGAACATTATTGCATTTAGCTTACCCGACTGGAGAACTGGAATTGAGAAGGAATATTGATGTAGTTACCTCGAGAAAGGGAAAATATCTGTTTAAATCATGACGACTCACACTGGGAATGTTCACCAGTCATGACTGTCACATTGGGCTGCAAACTGTGAGCTGAACGCCCAGTTATTTCCTGTCTGTCTTATCATAATAGGACAGTGACTCAAAGCTGGGGCTGTTCTCCTTGTGGGAAAGAAGGTTCCCAAGCAATTGAAGAGGAAAGGCTGCATTGTCCTGGATGGTGTCGAGCTTCTTGAGTGTTGTTGGATCTGCCCGCATCCAGGGGCAAGTGGGGAGTATTCCATCCCACTCCTGACTTGTGCCTTGTCGATGATGGGACAGGCTTTGGGGGGAGTCAGGAGGGGAGTTACTCGCTGCAGGATTCCCAGCCTCTGACCTGCTCTTGTAGTCGCTGTGTTTAGGTGGTGGGTCCAGGTCAATTTCCGCTCAATAGTAACCCCCAGGATGCTGATAGTGGGGGATTCAGTGATGGTAACACCATCGAATATCAAGGGTTGGACTGTCTCTCTCGATGGTGATGGTCATAGCCTGGCATTTGTGTGGCACGAATGTCACTTGCCACTTGTCATCCCAAGCCTGGATATTGTCCAGATCTTGTTGCACATGAACATGGACTGCTTCAGTATCTGAGGAATAACGAATGGTGCTGAACATTGAGCAATCATTGGTGAACATCCCCACTTGCTGGTCTTCCAGAGAAAAAGGTGGTCCATAACTGAACATTAGGGACATTAGGGCACACCCCAAGGTAACAGACACAATAAAGATTGAGGCGGCCACCAAGTGCTACAATGGAGAACGGACAATGTTTTAGCCCTCCCACAATGTAACTGAGAGACCTGAAATCATAGAAAAAGATTGCTTGCACCAGTAAAAGTTTGAAGTAGATGTTAGCGTGCAATGGAAATATCAAAGGTGAGCGGTTTTTGTCCAACTCTCTCATCAGAGACGGAGAGAGAGAGGGACAACTTGAATTTAACCTGAGGATCACCATCCTTCTAGCAAGGGTTTGGGTCAAGAAAGTAAGATTTCCATGGGTATTTTAGACAGTGCAGGAACTGAATTTACACTGTTGATGCCAGCCTGTAGCCCAAACGCTCTGAGCAATTAGAAACCCAGTGACAATGTGGCTGTAATTACAAACATAACGCATGACATTTCTCAGACACCCTTCTAAATGAATTGCCAGAGCGTTATAATTAATCCTTTTGGTCTGAAGAGTGAGAGGAGGCAATATAAGACAAAGGGCAGGTTCTTAAGGTGCAGTAATAGTGTGCCTACTTTCTGAACAGCAAGCCTGGGCTCAAATCCCTGCTCTACCCAAGAAATGTATCGCAGAAAATTGATGAGTAAATGCTGGTGACAGGAACGTTTATTTCTAAAGGAGGAACACAGAGCTGTGGGTTTCATGTGACAGGGCATGTCATGTCTAAGACATGCAAGATCCTGGGATTTATAAATAAGGACAGAGAGAGAGAACAAAAGCAAGGAAGTTTTGGTGAAATGCGTACAAAACACTGGCCTGGCTCCCTTTGACATATTCTGTCCAGGTCTGTGCTCCTCACTTGAGGTGATAGATGCAGGTACACAGGAGGTACAGGTGAAAAGATCTGGGGTGGTGGGTGTTGGGGGGTGGTGTCAGTGTGAGGGAATGGAGTCACGTGGATTGGAGAAACCCAGTCTGTCGTTTTCTGAGGAGCAGGAGGTTGAGAGTAGATTTTTCTAAATCATGTGGGGGTCTGGTCAGATTGGAATGGTGGGAGCTGGGAGAAACCTGTTCTCATTAGCAGCAATGTGGAGAACTAGAAGACACTGAATTAAGTCAGATGGACCAAAAATAAAACAAAAGGTGAGAGTGAGACAAATCATTTTCACAAAGAAAACGGCTGGAACGTGTAGATATTAACCAAAAGGTAACTGGTTAAGCCGAAAGCAAACTATAAAATGAAACGAATGAATTTTAAAAAACAGACACATCAAGGCTGGTGATAACTTAATTATTAGAAAGGTCACAGTGTTTGATGTGTCTTTGTGAGTGTCTGTGTGTGCGCGTGTGTGAGAGTGTCTCTGTGTGTGTGCGCAAATGTGTGTGTGTGTGAGTGTGTATGTGTGTATGTGTGTGTGTGTGCATGCATGTCTGTGAGTTTGTGTGTGCGCGTGTGTGTGTGCATTTCTGTGTGTGTGTGTACGTGTGTGCGAGTATATGTTTGTGCGTGTGTACGTGTGCGAGTGTGTGTATGTGTGTGCGTGTGTGTGTGTGTGTGTGCGTGTCTGTGTGTGTGTTTGTGTGTTTGTGTGTGTGAGAGTGTGTGTGTGCGCGTGTGTGTGTATACGCACTTGTGTGTGTGCGTGTGTGTGTGCGTACGTGTGTGTGTGTGAGAGTGTGTGTGTGTGCGCACTTTTATGTGTGTGCGTGTTTGTGTCTGTGTGTGCGTTTGTGTGTGTGAGAGTGTGTGTGTATGTATACGCACTTGTGTGTGTGTGTGCATGTGTGTGTGTCTGTGTGTGCATGTCTGTGTGTGTGTGTGTGTGCGCGGCGTGTGCGTGCGCGTGTGTGTGCGTGTGCATGTGTGTGTGTGGATGCGCGTGTGTGTGTGTGCGTCTGTGTGTGCGTGTCTGTGTGTGTGTGTGTGCGGCGTGTGCATGCGCGTGTGTGTGCGTGTGCGTGTGTGTGCGTGTGTGTGCATGTGCGTGTGCGTGTGTGTGCGTGTGTGTGCGTGTGTGTGTGCATGTGCATGTGTGTGTGTGCGCGCGTCCGTGTGTGTGTGTGTGTGTGCATGTGCATGTGTGTGTGTGTGTGTGCACGTGTGTGTGTGTACGTGTGTGTGTGCGTGTGTGTGTGGTGTGTGTGTGTGCGTGTGTGCGTGTGTGTGTCTGTGTGCTCTGTTACCAGATGCTCACTCCATCTTTCTGACACTGCGCCCGCCTCCCACTAAGTCTCATGCTCTGCCACTCTCTCTGTCGCCCGCAGTGTATCCCCACCCCCTCCATTGGCTTTCGTTCCCCCTCCCCCCCCCCCCCCCCCCCCCCCCCCCCCACCCCGTCAACATCACCAACCCTGCATGGCTGTCCACACTGTCTAGTGCCCACTCACTTCCATCATGTTCAATCCCTCCCATTCTCTCGTCACATAAGACCGTTTGAAATAGGAGCAGATATTAGGCCATTCAGCCCAATGGGTCTGCTCTACCATTCACTTCTGGCTGATTGGCTCCTTAACCCCGTTCTCCTCCCTCCTCCCTGTAACCTGTGTAATCAAGAACCTATCTCCTTCATTGAAGGAAATTTGGTAACGCTCCACTATTCTGCCTTTACTCCATTCTCTTAACTGGTTAAGAACCTGTCTTTCTCAGCCTTGAAGATACTCAATGACTCAGCCTCTCAATCTTCTAAACTCCTATAAGTACAGGCCAAACCTACTCAACCACACCTCATAAGACTGTCCCTCCATACCCAGGATCGTTCTAGTGAACCTGTCTCCAAAGCCAATGTATCTTTCCTTGGATAAAAGGTGCAACACTGTTCTCAGTACTTAAGGTGTGTTCTGACTTGCATCTTGTGCAGTTTTAGCAAAACCTCCCTAACTTATACATTCTATTCCTTTTGAAATAAAGATGAACATTCCAGTTGCCTTCCCTGCTGAACTTGGTTGCTTGCTTGTAGTCATTTGTGCATATGAAGTCACAAATCCCACTGCCGTATGGCTTTCCACAGTCTTTCTCCATTTATATAATATTCAGCTCCTCTGTTCTTCCAGCCAAAATGCATTATCTCATGCATTCCTGCATTATATTCCATTAGCTGCATTTTTGCTGTCTCACTGAACCACTCTATATCCCTCTGCAGATTCTGAGTCATCATCTCCACTCACCTTCCCACCTATTTTTGTGTCATCCACAAACTTGGTTACAGTTCATTCACCTTCCCCTTCCAAGTTGTTAATATCGATTGTAAGTAATAGTGGCCTCGGCACTGATCCCTGCGGCACTCCACCAGTCACAGGCGTCCATCCTGAAATTGCCCCCCTTGTCCCAACTCTCTGTTTTCTGCTACTTAGCCAATCCTCTCATGTTCACTTAACAAATTTCGTCCGTTTGGTGTGGGGGGGAAGTCCGACAGTAAAAAATAAATCACATTGAGAGAGAATACATTCAAGGCAACATCCAAAGGGCTTGAAACACAGAAACGTAGAAAATAGGAACAGGAGCAGGCCTTTCGGCCCTTCGAGAATGCACCACCATTCAATATGATCATGCAATCTCAGTATCCCAGTCCCACTTTCTCTCCATGATTCCCTTTTGTCTCAAGGGCCGTGTCCAGCTCCTTCTTGAATATATCGAACTGGCCCCGACTGCTTCCTGTGGGAGAGAATTCCACAGGTTCACATCTCTCTGAGTGAAGAAATTCTTCCTCATCTCAGTCCTGAACTGGCTTACCCCTTATTCTTAGACGGTGACCCCTAGTTCTGGTCTTCCCCAACATTGGGAACATTCTTCCCACATCTAGCCTGTCCGGCTCCATTAGGATTTTATATGTTTCTATGAGATAACACACTCCCGCTTCCATTTCTAAATTCCAGTGAGTACAAGTCCAGTCGATGCAGACTTTCCTCATATATCAGTCCTGCAATCCCGGGAATCAGTCTGGTGAACCTTCGCTGGACTTCCTCAATAGCAAGAATGTCCTTGCTCAGACTAGGAGACCAAAACAGCACATAATACTCAAGGTGTGGCCTCACCACTTGCTCTAAGTGTATCCTCACAGTTTGTTGAAATTCTTATTTTGTGTATATATACAACTTGCCTGACCCAGGATAAAGTTAAAGTGATGAAAGCATTATAATCCAACCAAGTTTTCCCAGAAACAGTGGAGATGTAGACGTGGTTGTACACAATAGTCATCAGTTAAAAATGAAACAATAAATGAATAAGGTGGTTAAGAAGGCATTTGGCACATTTGCTTTCATTGCTCAGACCTTTGAGTGTAGGAGTTGGGACGTCATGTTGAGGTTAAACAGAACATTGGTGAAGCCTTTTCTAGAACGCTGTGTCCAGCTCTGGTCGCCCTGTTATAGGAAGGATATTATTAAGCTGGAGAGGGTTCAGAAGAGATTTACCAGAATTTTGCCAGGAATAGAAGGTTTGAGTTATAAGGACAGGTTGGACCCATAGAATCCAGAGAAGCCCTACAGTGTGGAAGCAGGCCATTCAGCCCATAGAGTCCACACTGACCCTCTGAAGAGCATCCCACCCAGACCCACCCCCTACCCTATCCCTGCATTTCTCACCCTAGACACTACAGGCAATTTAGCATGGCCAATCTATCTCACCTGGATAGGCTGGGACTTTTTTCACTGGAGCATAGGATGTTGAGAGGTGACTTTATAGACGTTTATAAAATCATGAGGGGTATAGATAAGGTGAATGGTAGGTGTCTTTTCCCCAGGGTGGGGGATTTCAAGACTAGGGGGCATATTTGTAAGGTGACAGGAGAGAGATTTAAAAAAGACGCGACAGGCAACTTTTTTTTACACAGAGACTGGTTCGCGTTTGGAATGAACTCCCAGAGGAAGTGATGGATGTGGGTACAGTTACAACGTTTAAAAGACATTTGGATAAGCACATGAATAGGAACGGTTTGGAGGGATATGGGCCAGGAGCAGGCAGGTGGGACTAGCTTAATTTGGAATTATGCTCGGCATGGACTGGTTGGTCTGTTACCGTTCTCTACAAAAAGATTAAAACGCACAAACCTCAGAGTGAGTCCAATCCCTGGCGTTTTCCTTCCCTGAAGCACACGGTGAGAATGCAATAGTTCTGTCGCTGAAGCTGTTTCAGTGTCGGGTCTGAGGCTCCAAATGACATAATTTCCTGCTGCACTCTAAAGCAGAAAATCGGTCTGCTCTGACTAATAGGTGCCACACTGCTTCACCCAGAGATATAAAACTGCCATGTTACTGCAGCTTTTTGAAAGGATAAATTTTAACTCGGTTTTAAACAATGCTGAGCAGAGAGGTCAAGTTGAGACATTTCATCAGGACAGCCAGGGAAGAAAATTAGACTTAGAAAGGGAACAACAATTTGTGTATCGTAAGGAGAAGACGCTGATTCGTAGAAAATAGAACATAGAACAGTACAACACAGTACAGGCCCTTCGGCCCACGATGTTGTACCGACCTGTTATCCTACTAAGGTCAATCTACCATGCATATGCTACATTTTACTATCCTCCATGTGCCTATCCAAGAGTCGCTTAAAGTCTCTAAAGTATCTGACTCCACTACCACTGCTGGCAGCGAATTCCACACACCCACCACTCGCTGTGTGAAGAACCTACCTCTGACATCTCCCCTATACCTTCCTCCAATCACCTTAAAATTATGACCCCTTGTAATAGTCGTTTCCGCCCTGGGAACAAGTCTCTGACTATCCACTCTATCTGTGCCTCTTATCATCTTGTAAACCTCTATCAAGTCACCTCTCATCCTTCTTCGCTCCAATGAAAAAAGCCCTAGCTCCCTCAACCTTTCCTCATAAGACCTGCCCTCCAGTCCAGGCAGCATCCTGGTAAATCTCCTCTGCACTGTCTCTAAAGCTTCCACATCCTTCCTATAATGAGGTGACCAGAATTGAACATAACATTCCAAGTGTGGTCTAACCAGGGTTTTAGAGAGCTGCAGCATAACCTCATGGCTCTTAAACTCAATTCCCCCGCCAATGAAAGCCAACACACCATACACCTTCTTTACAACCCTATCAACTTTGGTTTGCAACTTTGAGGGATCTATGGACGTGGACCCCAAGATCCCTCTGTTCCTCCACACTGCCGAGAATCCTGCCATTAACCCTTTATTCTGCATTCAAATTCAACCTTCCAAAATTAATCACTTCACACTTTTCCGGGTTGAATTCCATCTGCCACTTCTTTGCCCAGCTCTGCATCCTGTCAATGTCCCGTTGCAACCTACAACGGCCCTCCACGCTGTCCACAACTCCACCAACCTTTGTGTCATCGGCAAACTTACTAACCTACCCTTCCACTTCCAAATTCTTGGGATTCTTTGGACTATGAATGGAATGGAAGTGTAGGTGCCTCTGTGGTGCAGTGGTAGTGGCCCTGCCTCTGAGCTGGGAGGCCTGCGATCAAGTCCAGAGGAGTGCTGTCACATCTCTGAGCAGGCCGATTAGAAAATGTCTGGGACGGGGGTTGCGGCAGGATCTGTGAAACTTTCTTCATTAATTGAGTGAATTTCCAACTAGGAAGTTCAGCTCAGGGTGTGGAAGGGAGTAACCATTCCCGTGTTCCTCAGGGTAATGAGTCGAATGTGGGGACAGGTTTCTTCTGTCTGCAATCGACAGACCCCTGGGTGCCTATCGATGATGCTCCCATGCGTGCGTAAAACTCCGAGCCCACCTGACAACCCGAAACCGGTTGCCAGGGGAATTCCTGGCGCAGTCGGGATTGTTGGGTAAACATTGCCTGATATTAGAATCACGTCGAATGTCGGACACGGTGTTCAGGGATTGGCGAGCGAAGAGGGTTGGGGTTTGGGCGCACACCCTTCTGTTGTCGATCAGTTTCACAATCTGCTCAACCAAACGCAGAGATTGCTAGAGAAACTCAGCAGGTCGGGTGGCCTCTGTGGAGAGACAGAGAGAGAGAGAGAAACAGAGTTGGCGTTTTGAGTCCTGAACCCTCTTCTTCAGAATATTTTGTCATTTCTGAAGAAGGGTCACACTGAATACAAAAGCTCTGTTTCTCTTTCCATAGACGTTGCCAGACCTGCTGAGTTTCTCCAGCATTCTCTGTGTTTGTTTCAGATTTCCATCATCTGCAGTATTTTGCCTTGTATCTAGTTTTCGTACATTGACAACGCCTTGGCAAACCCAGATATGCAAGGCACTCACTTACCTTGTGCATATCTTCTGTCACACATGGAAAGCCTTACTTTTTTGGACCCTGCTCACCTTCCCTCTACTTTTCAACAACCTTTTTGCAATTTATAAGCCGAAAGAAAGCTTTCGGAGAAAGAAATTAATCTTAACTGCTGTTCTGTCTTTGTATTCTATCTCTGCTTCTCTTACTTGAGTATTGAGATGCAGAGGGATCTGGGTGTACAGGACCAGAGATCACTGAAGGCAGCAGCGTAGGTAGATAAGATAGTAAAAGTGGTTTATGACATTGGAAGGGGCACTGAGTATAAGGATAGACAAGTTATGCTGCAACTTTATTGGACTTTAGTTAGGCCACACTTCGAATATTGCGTACAGTTCAGGTCACCACACTACCAGAAGGATATGGATGCTTTGGAGAGGATGCAGAAAAGGTTTACCAGGATGTTGCCTGATATAGGGGACTTTAGCGGTGAAGAAAGGTTGGATAGATTGGATTTGTTTTCACTGTAATGCAGGAGGTTGAGGGGCGAACTGTTGGATGTTTATAAGATTGTGAATGACCTGGACAGAGTGGAAAGTATGAGTCTTTTTCCTCAGGGTGGAGGGGTCAGTTACTAGGGGACACAGGTTCAAGGTGCGGGTGGGGGTAGAGATGTGTGAAAGGGTGGTGAGTGCTTGGAACGCGCTGCCAGAGGAGGTGGTGGAAGCAGATACAATAGCTGCATTCATGAAACACCTGGACGAATACATGAACAGGAGGGGAATAGAGGGATACAGATCCTGTAAATGAAGACAGTTTTAGTACGGAAAGGCAAAATGTGTTGGTGTGGGCCCCGAAGGGCCTGTTCCTGTGCTGTATTGTTCTTTGCGTTTTAGTCCTCTGTTCATTTACCCTCTTAACTCAATTAGAATTGTAGAATCATACAGAAACCCTTTGACGCATCAAGTCTGTACTGACAGAGAAAACACTCTACATCAACAGCGCTCCCACTTTCCGGCCATTGGCCCATAGCCTTGAATGTTATGACATTCTCAAGTGCTCATCCAAATTTTTAAATATTATGAGGTTTTCCACCTCAACTACAGCCCTAGGCACAACATTCCAGACCCCACCCACCCCACCATCCTCTTGGTGAAAATCTTTCTTCCTCAAATCCTCTCTAAGCCTCTTGCCTTTCACCTTAATAATATGACCCTTTGATATTGATCCTTTAACTGAAGGGAACAGCTCCTCCTGCCCACCCTGTCCATGCCCCTCATGATCGCTATTAGGTCCCCCGCTCAGACTTCTCTACACTAAAGAAAACAACCCAAGCTTACCCAGCCTCTCTTCATCGCTAAACTGCTCCATCCCAGGGCAACATCCTGGTGAATCTCCCCGTACCCAATCCAGTGTAATCACATCCTTCTTACAGTGATATTTGATTTGATATACTCTTGTCACATGCGCCGAGATACAGTGAAAAGTATTGTTTTGCGTGCTACCCAGACAAATCATACTTTACACCAGGGTAATAGAACAGAAAGCAGAATAGAGTGCTGCAGCTACAGAGAAGGAGCAGAGAAAGATCGACTCTCATCTATGAAAGGGCCATTCATAAATCTGATAACAGCGAGGAAGAAGCTGTTCTTCAATCTGTTGCTACTTGTTTCCAAACTGTTGTATCTTTGCCCGATGGAAGAGGGTGGAAGAGGGTGTAACCAGGGTGGGAGGGGTCTTTGATGATGCTTTCCTGAGGCAGTGGGAAGTGTAGGTGGAGTCAATGGATGGAAGGCTGGTTTGTGTGAGGGACTGGGCTGTGTTCACAGCTCTCTGTAATTTATTGCGGTCTTGGACAGAGCAGTTGCTGGAGATGCATCGAAACAGGACACTGCACACAGTCCACCATTCGTAGCCAAATCAAAGATGCATACAGTTCCCACATCACCTTCAGTGTTCTGATGAAGAGCCACAGGACACGAAATTGCTAACTCTGCTTTCTTCCCACACATGCTGCCAGACCTGCTGAGTTTCTCCAGAAATTTCTGCTTTTGTTTCAGATCTCCAGCAACAACAGTCCTTTGTTTCATTTTATTCCAATGTAACCTCCCTGCTCTTATAATCTAGGCCACGTCGGATAAAGACGTGTCCCTTATGCTTTATTAACTAGCTTACGAACATGCCCTGCACCCTTCCGTGATCTGTCCACACAATCCCTCTGTCCCTCTGAGCTTCCTAATGTACTGCTATTCATGTAGCACCCCCTTGTTTTGTTACTTCTTCACAAGATATTTTGCACTGTCAATAACTTGCTGTCACAATTAGACACTATTTTGTGGTCTTTAAATCCGATTAAAAAATAGAAGTGATAGTTCATTCAAGATCGGGAGCAGTTGCAGACAGTTTAACAGAAAAGCTCTGACGCTTGGTTCCTGCTTGTCATAAATTAAATTCGAAATTGGCATACCCACAGAAATTGCATTGATGTTGGTGGCTCAGTGGTTAGCACTGCTGCCTCACAGCACCAGGGACCCAGCTTTGATCTCACCCTCAGGTGGCCGTCTGTGTGGAGTTTGCACATTCTCCCTGTGTCTGTGTGGGTTTCCTCCGGGTGCCCCGGTTTCCTCCCACAGTCCAAAGGTGTGCAGGTTAGGGTGGGTCGGCCATGCTAAATTACCCATAGTGCCCAGGGATGTGCAGGTTACGGTGGGTCGGCCATG